TTTCCTGTCGTTAGAGTCATATAGAACAACCGTTTCCGAGCCTAGAAGTAACAGAGTCTTATCAACGTCAAAATTCTGTCTGGCGTTCGCCATCATGAGCCTCACAGACAATCAAAAGAGCCCGCCTGTTTCTGAAAAAATGCTACCGTGAGCGTGTGCTGCAAGAGATTATTTACAGGCAGTACTGACTATTATTCACCATGGATATGTATTCTTTCTCGGACGGACAAGTGAGCGTATCTCTCCATAGGAGATCAAGACCTTGCCCTCAGTGGAGGTTCAAGAGCTCGTCTAAAAAATCAGTACCATACTTTGCCCAGAAGATGTGTGATTACCGATGACAATGGCGTGGAGATCAAATCTGAGGGACGAAGCTTGCAACTCTGAGATTTCTTGGAAGGCCTGGAAGTACATATAGTTGGCTGTGTTGATGACCTGCGGGATGCCATAGATCTTGTGGGCGACTGGTGAGTGGAGCAAGCAATCGCATTAGAGTGTGGGGATTTGTTGAATCTAACAGACCTACCGGGAATTCCGCGACATAGCTGCGAGTCGTCCTCAACGTCATCAATGCTGTGGAATTTTGTGTCAGAGTGAGCGGAGCGGAAGGATCAATTGGACCTACAGTAGGCTCGCATTGTGCAGTGTTCCGACGATACGACTGATGGTCTTCAGCTTGTCCTCACTGACATCGAGCCAGATGTTGAAGGCATTGATCATCTGTGTGCGGATTTCCTTTCCAACCTGCGGCGTGATGTAGGCGTATGGTTCCAATATCCTCTTCGGGCACGACGGTCAGCACGTTCCAAAGCTCACAGTCGACACGCATCGCGAGCGTACCTCCTCATCTACTTTGTGCCATTCTGCATAGCAGTAGACAATTGAACTGAGATCATCATAGTCGACGGTAGTAGACTCAGACCGGATGGCGTCAATGGATATGGATACCATGGCTATGACGGTGGGACAAGCAAGGAGGACAGACGTGAAGTGGGAGAGATGTTCTGGGCAAGAGGATGAACGGATGGAAGATTATTCTGGGCCGTTTTGACTTCAGTCCTATCCTCAGTTCATGCCGCTCAAGGATGACTGTTGTCCCGTCCTGAATGTGTGAAAAGACCTCGTCACACGCCATGAAATGGTGACATGCAGACCGGTTCCCAGCAGAGCTTGCGTGGCAGACCACACTGATTCTATCCACTGCGCCCGAGTCGGAAACTGCTTCGATTTGATGCCAATCGTGATGCGCTGCGCCACTTAGTGCACCATCTATTCTGAATGACAGTCTCCGCACAGTACATACCTACAGTTGAGCCCAGAGCATCAAATTTGCGCTTGCATCAAACGCCGACTTGATGCTATCTGTCTTTGTGCATTCAGTTCTTGACCTTGCCTATGCGGCGCCGCACGTCAACTCCTTCCTGTCTCGCAGAGCCGGACAAAAAGACTCTAGCTCTAGTTCCATCAAGCTCGGCGTGGTCAGACAGACTCCAGCCTTTGGGGCTTTGATCTACATGATGCTGGGTGGAGTTGAATAAGGCTTAGGCTCATCAATCATGTACCATAGCGGTACTATGCTAGATTCTCACCCATATATCCTCCATCACAATGGCTCATCCCTCGGATTAATCTTTGACTTCCCGAAAAACCCGCGCCGCATACGAGAAGCGGCAAAGGATTCCAGAGAGATGATCAGGATGGCATAGATGCAGCCGGTCCCAACGGCTGCTCATGCGAGGCCTTGACGTCAACATCGGGGTGTACCTTGCAGCGCCGCCTCAGGTGGACAGATCGCCCGTCCCCGCGACAATTGTGTTTCTTTGGCAAGGTGCGCGTCAGTCTCCTGGCTGCACATCGGGGCGTCAAGTGTGGCTGAAACGACAAGATGCAGCAGCTGGGCACAAATGCCGAGCTCATACCGGTGCACCAAGCCTTCGCGTCGTTGATCGGCCGCCTTGTCGAAAGAGCTGACTGGAAAGCCGGACTCGCGCGGACAGTCACGACCGGTGGTTGAGCAACTCATAAGGTAAGATTCCACTTCTACTCCCCCACAGCGGCGGCATACCACGAACAACTGCCGAAATGTGTGTATCTGGGTCCCAGCCGAAGTACTCGACAAGCCGGCCGACGTGGCACATGCTCGTGCGGATGTTCTCAATCCAGACGACGACCAAGCGCGCGAAAGTGCATCTCCAATAGAGCTCAGATCTGTTAATGGATCCTACCTGATTTGGCACAACATACGAAGGGGTTTGGCGTCTATGTGGTTTTGGATCGATAAGCTCCACGCATTGGCGCGCCAGTTCGCGTGCTAAAAGTTGCAAACATTGGCCGCCCGGGCACCACAATAGTGGTTCGGACACACATCGGCGGGTGGGTGGGCCAAACCAGCCGAACATAACACGTCGAACAGACCACATACGCACATGGAGCCGCTATCATCGAATGTACGGCGCCCCGCTATTGCGTCTGAGTGCACCAGCCTTGGGATAGCGGGAGTGGTAACACAAGTCCTGCGAGGGATGGAAGGGAGGTCGGACTCACGCATGGCGCCACAGCGTGTGTGGCAGACAGATGGCAGAGACAGTTTGACGGGTGCGGGATGGGGGCAAACCAACACCTGCATTCTCGGGCACGAGTCCAGGCGCTTGGACGCTGTATTTGCTGCCCATCTACGCTAAGTTCACGAAACATGCATTGATACGTCGCGCGGACCTGTGCTCTCGATGTCCATTGGGCTTGGCTCCGCGCAAAATCTGGGGCTTCTGGGTTCAGTCCTGACGCAGCTGATACGGCACGAAAGGGGGACCACACTGTTGTAGTACTTGTCAGGAATGAATTAGTGATGAAGTAGCGTGAGAGCGAGTGCGTAGCACCATCACCTGGAGAAGCCGCAATGACCTCCGAGACATAAGGTACGAGCTTTGGTAGCAATCCGAAGTTCGATTGCCTGGAAGCTGAAGTTGCACTTGAGAGATGCAAGCGAGTTCCAAAGGGACTAGGGGCGCTGGGCACTCGTTCATTTGTCTAGAGGCAAGTTGTGCAAGCTCCAGGCCCTAGCAATCATGCGAAGAACACGCGCCGGGACTAGATCTGACGGCCATTATAAGTGCGACAGAAGAAAATCCCTGGAAAAGTGGCTTGAGCATAATGTACTAGCGAGACAAACGGATACATATTGGAAGTGGACACAGGAATTGCTAGGTTTGACTCAAAGGTGAAAGCCGCACAGATGGACTAATTGACTAGGGATGTTTTGGGGAGTCCAAAGGCAACATACGCCACCGGTCTGCACGCAGCACGTACTTGACGCACGAAGGGGCGTGAAGAGAGCGGAGAGAGATGAAAATGAGAACGGAGATAAGCGGAGATACCAAGTAAATCGCTTAGTCAGCACGCTTCTCGGCGCTAAAGCGCTCGGCCGCTGGCGCGCCTTGGCCACTCGACACCATGTCCAGCTTCAACGAGCCGTTGCAGGAGACTGCGACAAGTACGAGTAGCTCTACCCGTGTCTTACACTTCAGTTGGCTGGGCTCTGAATGTGCGTGAATGGGCTCAGATCCTGCAAAAAAATATTTCTGCCCCTGACTCGTTGCTAAACCTTGTCCCGCCGCCAGGGCTGAACTACTGAAGTCTCCACAGGGTATCAAGAGGAGGAGGAAGATAGATTAGCACAGACCGTGTAAGTAAGTGACATGACTCTTGACACTACTCAATGCTGAAATTAAACCCCAAGGTCATCATAGACCCAGTGGTAATAGTACTGCTTTCAAACCAAGAAACTTCTTATGTTTCCCATGCCTCGACATGCACTTGTAAATATATAGCAAATCCCACATGGCGCGCACACCCTGCCACGTCCCAATTTGTACAGGCAGATCATGCCCTCTCCCGCCTACGGCAGTAGCGTTTACCACTCCATCCCTTTCTCCTGCACCGCAAGCCACCCCCGTGCGACTTGCGCTGCTGCCCACACGACGCCCACAACGGTCTGAGAATGGAAGCTCCACCAGAAGCGCGCCCTCGGACTGTGCTCGTCCATCGCCCACACGAGCGCGCCCGCATACGCTGCGCCGAACACGACGTACGGGTTTCGCGCGGCCGGGAGCGCGAACGTGAGCGCGGCCGCTGCGTGCACGCCCATGA